AGAGTGTATTTGAGAGCTATTTAAGTTCAAACCACTATTTAAAACTGAAAATACTCTATCAGCTATTTTTATTCATGAGATGCAGTAGAGTGTCCATATTAACGGGCATAAAATGAAGGACATTGTGCTGTGCGCAAGACTATCGTAAGAGTTTTATATTAGTAAGCACAAGCGTCCACCATTTTTTCACTTGTCATTGCAGTATTAACGTTTCCAGTGTTTTTCTTTTTGGTTATTTGGATAATCATTACCTCTGCTGTCACCCTTATGATGTTGCTGATTAATCCTTTTACTAAATGAAATGTGAAACGCATAGAGAAATCGAGTCTCTAAATAGCATTCGAGGCTGTTCCTATCTGTATCTATTGAATTGTGTTGCGAGCGTGTTGTTTCATACGAACAAAACAAATATTTCTGACCACAAACTTGAACCCTTCCCATCTGCCACTTCCTCTGAAAAGATGAGACTCTGAGTTTAATCCCTTAAGAGATTATGAGGAATGCAGTTTAACATCCAAAAGCAGAAGTACTGTACAATGAGGAAATAAAAAATCTTTAAAACCCACAAGCTGGATTTTTATTTCTTGGTCTGAGCATAATATTTATATTAAAGAACTAAGCCAGAAACAAGCTAATGGTGATTTAAATCCTACCAGCAAAATGAGAAAAAAAGTGGGAGGATGTGAAAGCTCAGATGACACCCAAAAGGTCAGTCTGGATAATACCAGGAAATAAACTGAAGGGCTGTTCACACCAAGAACTGCAACGATAACTACATCCATAAAGTATTAAAAATCGTTGTGTATAAGAATAGCAAAGAAGATCAACAATATTGTTGATTCACTTTCAGAGCATTTCTATCAGAGGTTATGGATTGTGTTATGATTTAATTGTGGGATGTTATGATTGGTTATCAGCCCAGCTAACAGTTTTTGGTTCTCATAATGCTCTGGTAATGTTAATTTTGTTAGAAAAATAACCGACAGAGAACATTTCCAGAATGTTATTATTTGCTTCTCCTGGAACTGTATACTGACGTGAAGTTAGGGGAATGTTCTGTGTTTGCTGAGAGGGTGTTGCTCGTTGGGTTCTTAAGTGTTCTGAGTGGTTTCTAATGCATTGCCAAGCAGTTGTTATGGGCCGTTCACACAGAATGCATTTTTCCATTGCATGAAAGCCACAGAATGTGCTGCTTCTACATTTTCTGTGTAAACAGTTCATTAGTGAACAGCTCATTAGGGTGTTGTGGGTAGCTGCTTACAAGTCAAGAGCTGAGAACTCAAGTCTTAATCATATACTTTTATATATTTTTACTGGTTATTCCACTTATGGCTGAGATTAATAAAACAATAAAACAAAGTCATTTGACATAATAGCACACTTCAGTAAACCCCCTCATTCATGTAGCAAATGGGTCAATATCACTGTAGGGTGCCTTTTGGTGTCCTGTACATAACTAATTTTCCATGATAACATTGCCATGATTAATGACTATGAAAGGGTGTTATATTAGGCTAAGTTTTTATATTTATAACAAAAGCATTACTTAGCTCTTTAGATACATTTTCTAGATTAAGAGGATGCATGTTATTTTGCTATGTCCCATGCACTGCTCATTAAATTTGAATGAAGTAGAATATAGTAGTATACGAGTAGAATATAGTAAAATAATACAATTAAAAATTTTGTTCTCCTATTAATATTTTGTTAAATAAGAGATTACTCAATTTGAGTGTATTGATCAGTTGGTAATAAAAACAATATTTTTATTTAATAAAAAAAAAAAAGTGTTCATGTCCCTTGAATGGTTGTCCACCCTGTTGTATTGGGGAATCCGACCCTTTAAGTAAAGGCCATCCCCTTTAGTGACATCAGGACAACAGATTTCTTGTCTCTTCAGTGGCGGGAATTTCAACGGCTGAGGTAAGTTGTTTTTTTTTTATTGACAAATTTTCTTCGTATGAGTTTGCTTTCTTGCTTTGCCAAAGCTTAAGATGTCCACCCTGTCGGCATAAAATATGCCAGAAGTGATTACTAGAAAACAGTATTTTCAAAATATGTTAGTTTAAATATACCAAATTCTCTTCAACAACCAGACTATTTAGCTAGTCACAGTTTGTTGTAAGCTAATATGCTAATTGAAGCTCAAAATGTCCACACTGTTGGCCACTTAGACTCGATAGAGTGGACATAGACATGACGGTGGACATAGCATTCATTTGTAGTTAATGCTAAAAACTAAAATTAATATGGGGGGGGGTTATATCAATGTGATTGAGAATATAATTATATTATTATTATATTCTTTTTTTCGAAGTTGAATAAATGTTTCATTGTCATATTTTGTGTTCTGCTTTGTCCACCCCGTCATGTGCTGGTCCACACTGTCATCTTGATATTTTAAAATATTTTAAAGGGGTCATAGGATGCTACATGCACTTTTACAAGTTGTTTGAACTGAAATGTGTGTTGGCAGTGTGTGTACACAACCACCCTATAATGATAAAAATCCACCCGGTGTTTAAAAAAAATAAAAATGTTTTCCCCTTTCTCAAATCGAGCTGATCTCAGATGCCTTTCTGTGTGACGTCACACAGACGGGCCCCTCCCACGATAGTTTGATTGACAGTAGTGTTTCAGCACAGACTGGACTGGCGTCTTACCTTAGACCCACCCTGAGTGAGCTGTCATCAGTCCGCCATTGTTTCACCGCTGGAGAAGTTGTAGACAAGAATGACTCCTAAGCGATTGAGGTGTTCTGTTGTTGGATGTAATAATGAACATAGCAGTCATCGTTTACTCCCGACATCGGAGCCGCTTAAGACGCAGTGGATTACATTGTTTCTGAAGGGAATGCGCCCCGATCTACATAAATGTCTATGTTCGCGCGAATCATTCGTGATCCAGCCTCATCTACAGAAGTGAGTATAATGTTTTGTAATGATTCTTTGCAAATCGCCTTTCCTAATAATGTGCTAATTAGCAAGTTTCACGATGAATGCAGCTAAAGTAAACAGTCTCTCAGAGCAGCTCGGAAGAGAGGGGCGGGGTCAGCAGAGCTCATTAACATTTAAAGGAAAATGCTACAAAACGGCTTGGATCTGAAAAGAGCTGTTTTTGA